GCCGGCCCCGGAGCCGGAGCGGCCGGACGCCCTCAGGGGGCGCGCAGGGGGCGCCGTTTCCTGCGGAGCGCGCACCTGGGCGCGGGAGAGGGAGAGAGCTCCCCGTGGCTGGAAGTGTGCAAGCCCCGGCCGGGCGGCTGCTCCTCGTTGGAGGACTGAGGGTGCGCCACGCCCCGAGCAGGGCGCTGCCCCGCCACAGAGGGCACCCGCGACGGGCAGGCGGCACCCGGGAGCTTCCCATCAGACACACCCCTAGAAGCCCGGGGGGCGCCCTTTGGCCCCCTGTCGTGGAGGCGGCCCGCTGGAGTGGCGCCGAGCTCGGGCCCGGGAGTCAGAGGTGCCTGGGCTCAGGTTCAGGCCTCGGCCTTGTGCAGGTGACTTCACCTGCCTGAGCCCCCGTTCCTACGTCTCTGAAGTGGGACTAATCGCGGTGCCTCCCTTCCAGGGGTGGCGTGAGAATCAGATGGCGGGGGGCCTGAGAAGTGCTGAGCTCAGCGCCTGCAGGCGCAGGAAGCATTCAATCAGTAACTGCAGTTAATATCCTCCCACCTTCCCAGGACCCTCTCCAGCCCACCCCACCCTCCCTGGGTAGGATGGTTGGGTCTCAGGTGAGCCCCTCATTGAGCCCTGGTTGTCTGAGGAAGGGCCTGCAGTGTTGCCCTTTGGGGTGGAGATGTGAGAACCTGGCCCTGCGGAGGGCCCCAGGGCTGGCTGCCAGAGAACTTTGACCCGGGGTGTTCTGGGTTATGCTGGGGGTGGGGCGGCCCTGCCAGGTTACTGGGCCCTACCAGCCTCCCCGCCCATCCGTCCATTCAGCCAGCCAGCCAGCCAGCCAGCCAGCCAGCCGGTGTCCACTGAGCACATCCCGCCTGCTAGGTCCGGGTCTGGCTCTGGGTGTAGAATGGTGAACAGGCTGATAGGTCCCTGCAGTCCTGGACTTGGGAAAACCCATTTTCCAGGAGGGAAACTGAAGCCTGGACAGGGGAAGGAAGGGACTTGGCTAAGGCCTCAGCACCTTCGTGCCTTCTCCGCCCTGGCCTCGGAGTAGCTTCTCTGAGTGCTCACCTTCTAACAAGCGAGAAGAAGGAACCTTCCGTTTGTGAGCAGCTTGATGCAGGCTCTGATGAGGGACCCTTTGCAGGGACTGTGGGTGCCCTGGGGGAGGGACGTGGCTTAGCCTGGGGGCATCCCACAATGGCTAGCCCCCTGCTGACTCCTCTGTGGCCCCCTGAACTTCGCACCTCTCATCACACGGATCCTTGCTTCCTTTATCCATTCTCCATTCGTTCACCATTAGTTTTGAGCCTAGTTAAGTACCAGGCGCTGTACTGGGCTCAGGGGATTGAGTGCTGTGTAAAGAGACCCTGTCCCTGCTCTTACGGGACATGTAGCAGGAGAGGCAGACACAGACCAGTGTCTACACTGACAGGCACATCATGAATGATGCCCGGTTACATATTCACGTTCCCGCACCAGACTGCAAGCTCTGCAGTGGCAGGAACACATCTTGTTTTGCCACTGTGGTGGGTACTTGATTTATGTTGAGTTAACTCAGGCAGCATCCCAGGTGGGGGAAACTGTGTGTGCAAAGGTCCAGAAATAGGACAGTGCACGGTGTGTTCGGGGAACTAGAGTGCGGTCCTGGGAACTGGAGCGGAGGGTGGGAGGGGAGCAGGGCTAGGACTGCCCAGCGAGCTGGGCTGAGGTGGGACTTATTCCAAGGACAGTGGGAGCCATGGAGGGACTTGAGGCAGAGTGGCAAGGCCAGAGTCAGAGCATCTGCAGGAAGGCCCCAGGTTAGTGCCAGGTGTGGGGTGGGCCAGGGGGATAGCCAAAGGTTTGGGGGCACCAGCTTCTCCCTGTCCTCATGGCCAGGTGCCTGGGCATCAGCTGTGAGTTCTGAGAGACCCAGAACCTCAGGGCTGGAATTGGCCAGGCCACTGTGTGGGTGAGGAGACAGGGGCCCAGAAAAGGGGAGGGCATCACCCAGTGTCACCCAGCCGGCCTGTGGCAGCACTAGCATTTGAGCTAACCCTACCCTGGGTAGGTGTGGGTGAGACCAGGTGTGTGCCCATTTCTTCAGCCTGAACCTGGGCTCGGCCCTGTGTGGGCAGCTTCCTCGCTGCGTGTGTGAGGCCAGGCTGGTGGTGTGGGCCATTTCCCGTGCTGAGTTCTCCCGGCCTCTGGGTCAGCAGAGCCCCCAGCATAGACATGTCCTGGGTGCCAGGGACTGAGCTGGGTTTCACATAGGCCTTCTCCCCGCTTTTCACAGATGACGGGGCTGAGGGCCGCAGAGTCTTTGCCTGAGGTCATACAGTCAGCAAGTACTGGCACGGAAACTGAACTGTGCCCTCTGACCTCAGTATGGCCATATAGCTGTCCCGTCTTGAATGGCAAGGGTGGTCTTTGGACTTGACATCAGCCCTGCCCTTGAGCAAGGGGGGAGGTGGCTGTCATCCCTCGGTTAGGTGTCCTCACCTCTCAGAAGGGGCTGGCAGTCCTCACGCTGCCTCCCTCCCGGCCTGTTAGGATGGTGGAGAGCAGGTAGTGAGTAGGTGGCCAACTTCCTGCCAATAGAGAGGCAGTGAGAAGCTGTTGCCAAGCGGGTGTCCATACTGGGCAGCACAGCCTCCTCCCTGCCCTTGGCCTTGGTCCTGCGGCTGTCTGCAACACAGACCCACGTCTGTGTGTGGCCGGAGACCAGGTTCCCTGGGAGGTCTAGGGTTCAGCTGGGGCAGCCTCAGCACAACACTGTCCACAGGCACCCAGGTAGATGGCTGCTGGGCTGCCCCTGGCACAGGGCCCGGTCTCTGCGGCCAGGCCCAGCCGGGCCCAAATCCTTCACTGGCAGGGTGGTGGGTACAGTGCTTGGGTGAGGCCAGAGGCTTGATTTTGTTCATCTCCCTCGTTCTGACTGAGGTGCCCACGGCTGCCCGGCCTGCACTCGGGTCCTGCTGGGATGCCCTGTCTGTCGGGTGCTACCTAACTCGCCGGGCCGGGCCCTCGCTGATGCTCATGCGGTCCTCCCCTTCTCCCGCCCCACCCAGGTGATCTCTCTGGCCACCTCCTTGCCTACCTGAGCCTCAGCCCCATATTTGTCATTGTCGGTTTCGTGACCCTCATCATATTCAAGCGGGAGCTGCACACGGTGAGTGAGTCTGTCCCCCGACCCCTGGCCCTCCCACTGCTCCCCGGTGGCCCCCCCCCAGCGATGGGGGTTGCACTGTTTCATCCCGGGTGCTTCACCTTCCCTTCGATGCCTCCACCTTCCTTGAGGTGTGTGGGGCCTCCAGGCTGGTTCCAGGTTGCTCACCAGTTGGGCTGGGAGATACCAGTCGGAGGCCACAGTCTCTGGGGCTGGGCGGTGGCCCTGAGGCACAAGGCCCAGCTGACCATATGTCTTCCCGGCAGATCTCATTCCTCGGGGGCCTGGCAGTGAACGAGGGGGTCAACTGGCTGATCAAACACGTCATCCAGGAGCCGCGGCCCTGTGGAGGTAGGGCCCAGGCTGCGGGAATCGGGTCCACCAGGTCGGGCATTACTGGGAGGCCTGCACCCCCCCATCATGCCCTGTTTTCTCTCCCCCAGGTCCCCACACGGCAGTGGGCACCAAGTACGGGATGCCCTCCAGTCACTCCCAGTTTATGTGGTTTTTCTCCGTCTATTCCTTCCTTTTCCTGTATTTAAGGTGAGTTTTTCCCCAGTGAGAGTGGCCCTGAACTGGCCCCAGCCAGGCTCTGCCAGGGACTCACTGGGAGTCCTTTGGATGCCACTTGGGGCTTGGCCTCTTCTGGGCGTGCGGGATGAGCTGCAGCCAAGGCAGAAGGTGCTGGGAGCCTGTGGATGGGGCCAGGAGCTGTTTGGGAGGCCTGGGCTCCAGGCTCTGGGCTGAGGCCATCTGACAGGCCTGTCTTCCCAGAATGCACCAGACGAACAATGCGAGGTTCCTGGACTTGCTGTGGAGGCACGTGCTCTCCCTGGGTCTCCTTACCGCCGCCTTTCTAGTCTCCTACAGCAGGTACGGAGGGAGAGAACCTTCACCCCACAGCCTGCCCACTGGGTCTTGCTGGATTCTTGGTCCCCACTGGACCTCACTGTGGACTTGAGTCCCAGAGCCGGTGGGGCAGGGCATGGGGTCCCAGCCTCTTGCTTTACAGGATCAGGGCTCCACTGCCCCACCCAGCCCCTCTTGCTCCCTCCTGCTGGCTGAGCCCGGGGTTCTGTTCCCAGCCTCCTGGAAGAGCTCCTTGCAGACAGACTCAGAGTTCAGGGGCCAGAGAGAAGGGAGACAAGTCTCGGCTGAGCCATCTCCTCACTCTGAGTTGGGAGAGCAGCTGCCGGGTTCCAGCCCCCTGCCTCCTCCTGGCAGCAGTTCTGAGCTCTGTGTTCACAGAAGCTCCTGCCTGTCTGTGTCTGTCTCTGTGCACGCACAGATCCTGGGGAGCCAGGGCTTGAGCATGGGGATTGTGAGGTCTGCTACTGCTGGCTCTCATGGACTCCCTTTGTCCTTGATCCAGGGTCTACCTGCTCTATCACACCTGGAGCCAGGTGCTCTATGGGGGCGTCGCTGGAAGCCTTATGGCCATCGCTTGGTTCGCCTTCACCCAGGAGGTCCTCACCCCTCTGTTCCCCAGGATAGCGTCCTGGTAACTGCTTTCTGCCCCTGCTGCTGCCCTCCCAACTTCCCCTGCACCACTGTCCCTGCCCCCTTACCTAGGAGTTTCTACCCCAGCTTCATCTCCCTGGGAGGGCCCAGGTGTCCAGGTTTCTGGTAGACATAAGGCTGAGGCTCTGCTTGCTTGGTTTCTGTGTTGCCCAGGGGTTTCCTCAGCCCAGGAGCCCATGTGGCATCCTCTGTCCTTGACCAGGCTCTCAGGGATTTAGGAAGCAGCCTGAGTCCTGCTGAGCTATGTACCATGGGGGGTGCCCCTGCCTCAGTTTCACCCAGGTGACACATCTGGGTCTCGCAGTAGCTCTGGGGTCACAGGGCAAGCAAAGACTGAGCAGTGGGGGAAGGTGCATGGCTGGCCCCAGGCACTGATGGGGTCTCTGGCTTGATGACAAGCTCATGCCCTGATGTGGTCCTGGGGTTTGGGTGTCTATCTCTTCAGGCCTATCTCTGAGTTCTTCCTAATTCGAGATACAAGCCTCATTCCCAACGTACTCTGGTTTGAGTACACAGTGACCCGGGCAGAAGCCAGGTGAGTTAAGGGTTCAGCAGTGACTGGGTCCTGGCTCAGTGGGGCACAACCCCAGGGCAGCCACTGCTCCCATTTGGGGCCAGGTATTGGCCTAAGCACTTTTTTTGCACTGTCTTGTTGAATCCTTTCCTAAACCCCATTTTACAGATGAGAAAACTGAGGCTCAGAGATGAGAGGAGGAGTCACTTGACGAATAACTTAGAGCTGGGCTGGGAACCCAGGCTGTCTGGCCCAGAGCCATGTTTTTAACTCCTATGGCTCAGAGCCAGAGGTCTGGGCAGCCAAGATTCTCAGGGCCCGTGTGTGTGGGCACCCTTCAGTCTGGTTAGTCCAGACACTTTCCTGACCGAGGTTGGGAAAACGGGAGCACAGCAAGGTGGTGCAAATCTGGGCTTTGGAGCTAACTGATTGAGCTCTCCCTCCGCACTCATCCCAAATCCTGGGTGGGGTGCCAGACGGGGTGGAGAAGGCCTGGCTCTTCCCCGGGGCTCAGAGGGGAGCTGAGGCGAGGTCAGGCTCCAGAGCAAGCCTGTGAGGTTTCCCCAGAGAGCTGGTGAGAGGAATCATGGGGCCGGGCAGGGCATTGAATCTCAGCAGCCTAAAAATGTGTCTAGTGCATCGTGGTCCAAATTATCCTAATGAGCTTAAGGGTAAAGGCCTGGATCCAGGAGGAAAGGGGATTTGAGGTGGTTAGGGCAGGAATCCCGTTATTGGAGGAGGGGCCTCAGCTGGCCCTGGCTCTCCTCACCCGCCACCCAGTGCCTACAATGGTCCTGTCCCAGAGGCCCTGCTCCGCCCTGCCCGGCCCGGCCCTCCCCCCCGTCACCTGGCCCTGCTGGCCACCGCCTGCCATCATTGATCAAAATCTGTGTACACGTGCTCTGTGCCAGGCTGTGTGTTGGGGGTAGGCAGAGAGTGAGACAGCCACAGAGTCAGCGAAGACACCAAGAACCAGGCGCCCACCTGTGTGATGAGTGCCCCGGGCTTGAGAGCTTGGGACAGGAGCCTGACGTAGGGGTGGGTGGTTGGGCCTGCTGCCCAGGGAGACAGACCTGCCGAGGCGGGGTGTGGCGGGACAGTGTGCTCAGGAAGGGGACTATTTCGAACAAAGCTTTTGAGGCGGGAGGAAGTTTGGTTGGTCAGTTACTGGGGCTGCTGGGGGTGGGCATTCTTTTTTTTTAATGTTTTTATTGATTTTTAGAGATAGAGGAAGGGAGAGAGAGAAAGAAACATTGATGAGAGTCATTGATCAGCTGCCTCATGCACACCCCCAACTGGGGATCAAGCCCGCAACCTGGGCATGTGCCCTCATCGGGAATTGAACCAGCGATCTCTTGGTGCACAGGGACGATGCCCAGCCACTGAGCCACTCCAGCCGGGGATTCACCCATTTTGATAGGACTCTGGGTAGGGAGGGGACAGCTAAGGGGTCACTGAATGCAGAAGCCCTCTCCTCTGACCCCAGGCATCCTCACTTGAGACTCCCACCCCGTTTTGCAGGAACAGACAACGCAAGCTGGGCACGAAGCTGCAGTGACTGGTGAGTGTGGCTGGGCCCAGCCTCCCGGTGTGGCCTGCTCGATGCCTTGCAGGATGGACAGAATGACCGAGGGATGAAGCAGAGACCTCTACAGACCCACGTCACCGAGTGGACCTTTTTTTTTTTCTTATTTTAATTTTAATGAACAAGGTGGTGCCTCAGCCAGGACCCTGGAGGGGCTGCTGCCGGGGGCCACACGGCCAGAGACGTGCACTGCCAGCTCCGGGCCGAGCGGAAGTGCTCCTGGTGTGGGTACCGGGGTGTGGGGTAGAGGCGGAGGACTTGCACCTGCGCTCGCAGGGCCAGGAGACCCAGGTGGCGTGACAAATGCACACTATTTATTTTTGGGTTTTGTTAATGGCAGACACGATTTTGGAGCTGGGGTGGAAGAGCCTGCTGTGTGGTGGCTGCCCCAAGCAGAGGGGCCCAGGCCCTTTGCCCCGAGCCCAGGAGGCAGACTGCTACTTCCTGGGCCTGAGAGGTGGCCTGGGGGCCCAGGAGAGGGGAGGGGAGCGCCCTGTGCCCTCCCTGCCACCATTGCCATTCCAGAACCTCAGTGTTTCCTAGTCTGGGGGCCAGGGCCCGGAGAGAGCACGCGTTTGGCGGCTGCTATCATTGTGTCCCACCCCGTATTGACCCTACACCACAAGGGCTTTCTCTGGTCCCCTGTCCCCTAGACAGTGGTCCCTTTCTGACAAAAGAGCCTGCACATGTGGGTGAGCAAACCCAAGCTGTTTACAGCTCTTTTTGGTCCTGCCATCGGGAGCAGTCAGTCTTCATCTCCACAGAACAAATGCAGAGGAGCCAGGAGCCGGGCAAGAGGAGGGGTCTGGGGGCCTGACATCCCCACCCTTCCCTTCCCTCTTTGCTCTGAACATTCCTTATCCTTCCCGACCCCCTCTGGGAGGCTGGGACCTGCCTGGGGTCACCTTCAGCCCGTTTTGGGGTGTGGTTCACAGATGCCCACTGTCTGGCTCAGAGGACGGCTCTTCCTCTCTCCTCTGAGGGGATTTGATCTCTGAGTCTGTGAATGGAGTTGGGGAGTGGACATGCTTCCAGACTCCTGGAAGTTTCTAGAACTGAACCAGGCTGCTGGGGACCTGTGTTCGAAGCCCGCCCCTCCCTCTCTTTGTGGAGGTTCGTGGTCTGCTGCTGAAGCACAACGTTTGGGTGCTTTCTTTTCTCGTGTTAGAGATGGTGTCCAAAGCCGTTCCAGATGCGGGGGCCAGGGGCCTGTTCTGGGGAAGGTTGGTCAGTCCCCACGTTCGCCTCCCCTCCCCACCCCTGCCCTTCTTATTTTTTACATTTTGCCTGAGACAAGCCAAGTGTGAGGTGGTTTCATTTAAAAAAAAATCAATGAAATTGTTTACTATTGTTTTAAAATAAAACCTTGAACTCTGGTGGCTCGAGCACATGTTGATGTGGGCTCATGAGAGGAGGCTGGATTCCATGACCCCGAGGAGCAAGGATACGGTTAAAACCGTGAAGTCACAGGCATCTCGGGCATCGGCCCCTTCCAGCCCCAGAGCTGCAGTTCCAATGCCCTGCGACGCTCCCCGCCGGAGTCTGAGGAGACCTCGCTGCAGGGAGGAATTGGGGGTGCCCCAGCCCACCCGTGTGGCCTCAGCCTCGTGCCGTGCGGCAGCCCTGGAGGGCGGGACAGCGGCGCTCTTCCAACGCCTCCACGGGGCCCACGCCCCCTCCTGTTTGGTTTCGCTGTCTCGAGTGTGCTCGGTGGAGGACCTTGCTTTGGGAGAAATGACTGCTGATGGGGCTGGGCTTGGAGGCCTTGTGGGAGTGAGATGAACATAAGCCGAACCCAGGGGCTGGCGAAGGTGGGGGTCTCTCCCTCGATTCACTGAGCTGAGACGCAGCCCCCGGGGTGAGGGGTCAGGTGACTCTGTCCTCACATGAGCTCCAAGGCTATGGGTTGGGACCCGTGGTCCACAGAACCTCGACGTTCAGTAACCATGGCCTTACCCAAGATGCGAGGCAGAAGCAAACAGGTCCCTGGAGGAGGGAACCTGCACCCTAGACTTCAGTTACCTGAACGAATAGTTTCTGAGTTACAGCGAACAGACCGTGGGCAGAGATGGCCAGAGGGAAACAATGCGTGACTCAACCAGCAGAAAGCAGGTCAGGGAAACAAACCTGCCAGTACCTCGTGCTGGGGTGATCGGGCACAGGCTAAATGTCATGTTTTGTTTTTTTAATATATTTTCATTGGTTTCAGAGAGAGGAAGAGAGGGGGACATCGAGAAACATCAGTGATGAGTCATTGGTCGGCTGCCTCCTGCAGGCCCATCGCTCCCGCAACCCTGCCTGTGCTCCAACCGGGAATCGAACCCCGATCTCCTGGATCCTAGGTCGATGCTCAGCTGCCGAGCCACACTGGGCGGGCAGATTTCATGTTTTAAAGGGATGAGAGACAAACCTGAAGATGTCTGCAGGGAATGGAAAACTGTAAGGTGGACTCTGGAAGATTTTTCAGTGAAAAAGTGGAAAAGCTCAGTAGCTGGAAAACAAGCTCAGCAGGCAGGTTTCACAGCAGGTGAGGCAGCTGAAGAGCAGAACTGGGTGCCGCGTGCAGGGAAAGGCCAGGTGAGCCTGGGGTGTTCCCTGGGTCCCAGCTAAACACCATCTTCACCTCAGCTGACACACCTGCCCCCCGCCCCCAATTTCTTTTCCTGTTGCTGGCCGCAAAGTCTTGCTCACTCCAACTCATGAGTGAAATGTCCACTTTTCTCCACCCCCCGCAACCCCGTCCCTGCCTGGAAGCTGCAGAGCCCCCACCGCCAGGCCCCCTAGCCTTTGACCTGGCCCGGGCGTGGCCCTCGGCCTGGGCCGCTCCCCCTTGGCGGGCTCCGCTCCAGGCCTGCCCTTGGTTCCGGCCACTGCCCTTTTCTCAAAAGCCAAACTAAAGTTCATGTAGCCTGGAGAGAGGACCTAGATGAAAGCCAGTCTTTCATTAATTTCCACGTGTTCACATTTCAGGTGATGTGTCGCACAGAATGTACTAGTTTAGAACAGCTCTTTTTCACTCTTTAAAAAAGCCAAGTTCTGCATCACGGGCATCCGGGTCTGGTTGCCCCTGGCGCCACCTCCGGGCTAGTGGAGCCAATTCTCCGGGGCCCACTGGCCAAGCGGTTTGAGACCCAGCAGCCCCCTCGCTGGAGGCTTTGTCCGAAGCCCCAAGTGCCCACTGGCAGAGCATTGAGACAGTGGGTTTAAAAACCCTGTGGGTGCGTCACCTCCCCGATGCTCAGCCCTGTGTGGGACACCGTGTCCCACAGCCAACGCTTCAAATGTGAGGTCACAGCCACACCCTCCTGAGCAGTCACTAAGTTTGCCTTTTCCTTCCCCACCAGGGCACCGGGACGCTAAGCGCTCCCTCCAACACTGACGGGTGGTTCCAGGGGTAAGGTGCCTCCCCCGCGTACTGTGGGGAGCCCTCATTTCTGAGGGAGAATTTTTTTGGGGAAATCCTGCCCTATATTCAGGCATGTGTGGTGGTTAGAACTTGAGTTTCGGGAGTCCCCGGTGTCTGTCCCTGCAGCGTCCATGGCCTGGCTCACACAGCGCTCAGTGTCTGCTGGGGCGTGCTTCCTGGGACTCCCAGGAGCCCCCCAAGGGAGCAGCTTCCTCTGCATCATGCAGGCGAGGACACCAGGTTGTGTATCACGTTCTTTTCCTGGTCTCCCCGCTCATGGCCCAGGGAAAGGCATTCACAGACCCCCCTTCCCCCGGCATTACCCCACCTGCCGGCCTTGCTGGAGGCCCAAGAAATGGCCAGGCTCAAGGCAACACCCACTCCCCCCATTGTCTGGGTTCTGCCTCTTGCTCCCTGGGACTTTGGGCAAGTAGCACACGCTCCCCACCCCCACTGCATCATGAGGACGCCGAGTCCCCACCCATGGTGGCTGTGGTGAGGTCCGGGAGGGCCCAGCAGGTTGGTTCCACCTGATGAATGCCCTGGCCCAGCCGGCACCTTCCAGTGCCTTCCAGGCTGCAGCCCTGCCCCCTTCCCCACAGTTTGTAGGCCTGAGTCCATGGTTGGTTCGCCCCACGGCCTCCCTTCTCCACCCTGCCCTGGGTCCTCTGAGTGGTCCTGTTGGGCTCAGTGGGGGGCTGCAGGGTAAGGCCTTAGGCCCTGGTGGTCAGGCACACACAGCCCACCAGGCCAGGGTCTGCAGGGCCCCTCAGCCCCTGGGAGAATTGTCCCCACCTGTAGTGCATGGTACTGGAGAGGCCCGTCACAGGCAGGTGGGAGCAGTCTAAGAATGGAGCCCCGGATCCGTGCCATTCCGGCCGGGAGCTCTGGGGTGGAAGCTGGCACGAGGCTCCCTGGCTAAGCCTGAGGGCACCTTCTCTGGGAGCCCCTGGAGCCACTGGCTGTTGGGACGCCAGTCCCCCCTCCCCCCCCACGGAAGGCTGGAAGGAGGCCAGGTGCTCGCCCACCTGCCTGCCTCTGAGGCTGGACGGCCTCTTCATCAAGTTTCCCTTTATTCCCTCACGCAGGAGTAGCACACAGCCAGGGCGGAGTTCAGGAGGCACAGAGTGGAAGGAGCGAGCCGCAGCAGTCAGGGACGCCTCACACCCTGACCCAGCCTCAGGGAGGCCTGGGGTCCCCCCTCCAGAAAGTCCTGTCTTTAGGCCCTTGGGCGTTTGAGGACCCAGGTACCGATCCGGCCAGCTGTGCTGATGGCAGGGCCTGGCCAGAGCTGAGTTCTCGAGGAAAGGACTGCGTCTCCCACCCCAGCGGGGGATGGACTCTGCTGGCTCCTTTCCCAGAGGAAGGCCTCCATGGACGACACACTCGGTGCCTGGGCCTCCGTGCTGCTCAGCCTCAGACCAGAGCCCAGGACACTGGGGATGACCCAGGGAAGGCACTTGGCTTGGGCCTGCAGGCCCCACGGGGGTGCCAGCCCTGGCTCGGTCGGATCTGCGGGCCCAGGGGGAGAGGGAGCAGAGGGAAGCCCTGGAAAGTGGCCCCTCTGAAGGTGGCTTGGCTTTGGCACTGGCGGGCTGAATGGGGCTCAGAGCTTGGCCCGGGGGTGGCTCTGCAGCAGGGCGCGCATGTCCAGGAGTGCCTTCTCCAGGTAGTGCGCCATGCGGTTGGCGTTGGTCTCCGCACAGCTGTTGTAGGCTGACACCGAGAAGTTGATGTGCGACTCCATGGGGTTATAGCAAACGCCATAGCCGTCCGGGACCACAGGTCCAAAGAACATGACGCAGTCTGTCTTGGAGGGGACCTGGGGGTGGCACAGGACTAAGGCTCTGCCCTGCCCACCTGTCCTCCTAGCCCCTCAGTGGCACCAGCCTGCCTCTCACATCTTTCCTGCGTGTGCTCTGCCCAAGACACCTCTTTCTCTTCTCTGTCACATAGGCAACTCCCTCTCGTCCTTTGGTGTCCCCTCCATGGAGCCTCTTTTACATTCCTGAGGGGCTGTAAGTGCTCCCTCCTTGGGACTCCCCAGACCCCCCAGCTCATCCTGGCGGCCATCACTACCTCAGTCCCTGTGCTCCGGCCTACACTGTGCCTGCACTGAGAGCCCCTGGGGCAGTATGGTGCTGTCCCTGCTGTGTCCCAGCGCCCAGCACAGGCTGGCAGGGATCAGATGTTCCTTCGTGTCTTCTCCCCTCAGGGGGTCCCCAACTCTTCAGACTGCCGCAGCCTTGGTGGCATGTGTGGCCCGTGTGGGCCATGCTGCCCCCAAGGTCTGACCATGTTCTAGACCTTGGCTCTAGTCAGTGCAGCCTTTGCTCTGCTCCAGCTCTGGTGGGTTCTGCTCCATCCCACCCCAGGGCACCTAGGGCAGTGGCAGGGGCCCTGAGGGCGGGGATCCCCAGACAGCTCTGGGGCAGGGGCTCACCTGGCTGGTGGAGAGGTTGAAGTGCATGGCGATGGCATAGGAGGTGTCCATGAAGATATCAGGCATGCTCACCAGGTCCTCGATGGCCTGCAGCTTCAGGCCCAGCAGGTGCCGGTCGAAGGCCTCCCCGCGGATGGCCTGCAGAAGGGGCGCTGTCAGGAGCAGGGGCTGCAGGACCACAGGGTGCCACTGCCCCCCTCAAAAGCCTGTGGCAGCAACACCTCCATTCACTGGTCCCTTAGACCCATGAGACCAGAGCAGCCAGGAAGGAGAGCCCTCACTTCACAGCTGGGGATACTGCCCAGGGAGGCAGGACAGTGTACGATTTAAGAGCATAGGCCTGGAGCTGGCTGTGGGACCTTCGCAGGTCACTTACATCTTGGAAGCTCAGTGTCTTCATCTGTAAAATGGGGACAGTCACTGAACTCCCCTTGTAGGGTGGCAGTGATCTAAATGGACGTCTGTGTGTAACACGGGCAGAGCCTGGCACACAGGTGCTAGAGACAGGGCAAGGATGGGAATCCAGACCTCCCCCTAGCAACTGTAGCCTGAGCTGTCAGATGGCAGGGATCCTCCTGTCTGCCCACTGCGCACACCCGCAGCATCCTGGGCTCCAGGGTACTAAGAGAGCATGACACAGATTCAGAGGCTCACCTGGAACCTGGAACTAGGGCAGTCACAGGGCACAGCCTTAGTTTCTCCAACTTTAAAATGGGGGTGTTCAGCCCTGTTCCAGGTACCCCAAGGCTCAGGGGAGGGGTTCAGGCTAAGGGTAGGCAGCTATGCAGACAGGTGGGAGATGCCAATGTTCAAGCACATGGGGACAGAAAGGGCTCCCTCACCCGGTCCGTGCAGGTGCGGTGGGCCTGCACAGCCTTCCGCAGCAGCTCCACCTTCTGTTGCTCCTGTGGGGGTGAGGGTGCGAGGGAGCTGAAGCGCCATCCTTTCCCTGTCCCTGCCACCCTCTCCACAGCCCACTCCCCACCCAGCACTGCATTCTGAGGAGGAAGTGGAGCTACCATCACTTTAGGGCAGGTGCTCACTGCTGATGAGTGAATGAATGGTTCCCTTTTCTCTTGGGCTGCCAGGAAGCTCAAAGCTAAATCCACAACTCCATCTTCTGTTACATTCCCAGTGCCCACCAGAGCGGGGATACTGCAGGTGCTCAATCAATGCATGTTGGCAGAGTGAAAGGGAAGGGAGGAGGCTCTAGTCCAGCTCACCCACCTCCCCCCAAACCTCTCACCATCACACTGGGGTCGTCCATGGCTTTGACAAAGCTCAGCGAGTCCATGGAGGCTGAGCGGATGGTGTCCGTGCGGCCCAGGTGGAACATGCGCAGAGAGGCGCTCTCGTAGGTGGCACATGCCTGCCCGTAGATCCTGGTGGGAGACGGGGCTGAGCACCCCTCCTCTGCCCCAGGTCTCCTCCCCGCTCGTGGGTGGGCAGGGTGGGGCCGGGCATACCTGTAGTAGGCCAGCTGCAGCGCCATCTGTATGAAGGCGTCAGGGCTCAGCTTCTCTGACTTGGGGAAGTCCTTCCCAAAGTGGTGGAACACGGTCACGATCATGTCCAGGTCCTGGATCATGCTGGGTGGGGGGAGGCAGTGAGGAGTGGGCACCGGCGGCCCTGCCAACCCAGGGAGGGAGGCCTCGGAGCCAGCTGGGGACATGAGAGACCTGGGACTAAAGCCTCCTGGCCCCCCAGCGCCTGCACTCACATGCCGAGATTCTGCTTGGCCTTCTCAATGTCGTTCTTGATCTCAGGGGTGATGTTGAACCGCAGCTTCTTGGGCATGGGCAGGGGCACCATTGGAGAGCGCACAGCCTCGGCCTTCTTCCTGCACGACATGGGCCCTCAGGCTCGTGCTGCTGCCGGGAGCCTGGGTCCATCCCTGGGGCTGGGCTGGGGAGGGTGGACCCCGAAGCTGAAGGGTCCTGTCCAGGGAGACCCTTGGGCTTATTCTTCTGAAGTTGCCTCCAGCTTTCAAGTGGCCAAATGAAGGAGGCCCGGGAGGGGTGGGAATCGTCCAAAGTCACGCAACTGGGAGGGGGAAGAGCCAGGATTCGGACCCTGGTTCGTTTGGCTCTAAAACCCACACCCTCTCCTGGCTTCCTTTGAAGAGACAGATTCCCAGACATGGGGAAAATGCCATTCCTCACAGGGCAGTCTGTCACCTGTCGGCAGGACCTGGGGAGACGGGTGGGTGGGGGAACCTCACTCACGTGTACTCAATGACGTGGTCCACGAGGGAGATGATGGGGGGCCCCTCTGCTGCTGCATGCTCATAGACGAGCCCACAGGAGCCATCTTCCGCCACGATGAACTGTGGAGGGGGTTGGGGACCTGTTAGCCCAGGTCCTTGGAGCCGCTCTTTGGTCGGGTCCCAGAGGAAGTCACCTCAGGGCTCTGCTGACCCATTACGGTTGTTGACAAGAGCTAACACTCAGCAGGGCCTGGGGCCTGTCCCAGGCCACACCAAGCACACCCCAGGCTCATGTAGCTCATCGAGTCCTGCAGCTCTTCCTCCCACAGCCCGTTTTACGGGTGCAGGGGGGAGTCAGGACCAAGACTGAGCCGCTCTGCCGGCCTCTGATGTGCCGCAGGGGTGTGCGGGGGTGACAGCGGACTCTGGGCCAGGCCTGGTAATGACAGGCTGGCTGCCTCCCGATTACAGCGCGTTGCCTGCTGGCTTCCTCCCGCTGTACAGGACGCCAGGCAGGTGCTCAAGGGGCAGGAAGTCCCGAGGCTGCAGGGGACCAAGTGCGGTGTGTGGGGTGGGAGCCAGGCCCTGCCGGGTCCTCACCTGCAGCGTCTTGTCGAACCAGCGGTTGCCGCTGTTGAGCTTGCTGCCACCCCCGTGCAGCATCTGGCCGGCCACCTGGCTGCGGTACATGTCCTCCGAGACACGAGGAATCACTCCGTCCAGGCACACGGTGAAGATGCTCTTCTGGATGGAGCGCACGGACTCCCGGTTCACCTTGTCTGCGGGGGGACGGTGGGAGGGGCACAAAACGGGGTGTCAGGCTTGGGCGGCCTCCAGAATGTCACCAAGTGCTGGGATGGCCTTCAGAGCCTTACACTCAACAGGGCCCTGCAGCCCCACAGCACCCCGAGGCAGCGCCCACTGCCAGGCCCTCTCCAGGAACGAGGAAGCAGGCGCCCAGGGTCTCCCGGAGAGCCAAGTGGCAGCCAGGGACCCCACACAGGGCTCTGACTCGGGAACAACGCCCTGACTAACACAGGGCTTGGGGGCCGTGATGGCAGAGGAGGGCTCCTCAGCCTGAGGACTTAGACTCGCACCCCGCTTGCTACAATAGAGAGAAACAAATGAGAGCAGCTGAGCTTCCTGAGCTGGGTGCACTATGGCCACCCAGCGCCTGGGTGGGCCGAAGCTGGACGGGCCGGCCTCCCACTGCCGCCATTGGGCACCTTTGATGAGGGTGTTGTACGCCTTGGCCCAGGAGTTGCGGTGGTTGGAGGTGAGGATGCCCACGGGCTCTTTGTTGGTCTGCAGCGATGAGTTCCAGATCTTCTCCAGCTGCACGAAGAGCTGGTCCGCGGTGAGGGGCGTCCCATCGCTGTGGTACACGTCCAACTCGAAAAACTGTCCAGGTGCAGGCAAGTGGAAGGAAGGGGGCTGGTGAGGATCTCAGACTGGCAGCAGTCACGTCCCACCCAGCCCCCTCCTGGCCCTGGCAGCCCAGAGGTGGCAGTGAGTGCTGTCCTGGGCCCAGCTGAGGGGACAAGGTGAGGCCAAGGGTGAGAGACGGGGAGGATGTCCTGCACTGTTCCCCCCAGGGTGCGCAGGCCGAAGGGCCCTCTTGGCGTCCCTGAGGCTGGAGCCCAGCCAGGCACCCAGTAGACACGCCCAGGGCATGCCTGCTCCTGGGGCACATAGGCATGTGTGGGGGGAAGTAGCCTTCTGGCTGTGCCCTCCTCCCCTGCCGAGCATGGGGGCCCAGGCCCGTGGGCCCACCCACCTGGTAGTTGTGCACCACTGTGATGTGAGTGGGTGGCTTCTTGGTCTTGCTGAAGTTGATGACCGAGTCCTGCTTGGGGCCTGGCACGCGGCAGGAGGACAGGATCTGATAGTACTGGTTCATGCACAGCGGCTTTCCGCCCAGGTACTCCACGGGCAGGGTCTCACTGTGGGGCAGAGGGACAGTTAGGGGAGAAGGGAAGAGGGAGCTGCTGGGTTCGTGGGGGCTGGGCCAGGCTGAGCCAGGTTTTACACAAGCAGTGTCTGTCCCTCATGTCCCCACTTCCCCTTTGCCTGAGCAGGGGCCTGACAGAGCTGGGCTGGGGTCAGGCGGCCTGCTGTGAGTCACCCTGGAAACTCCCTTCCCCTCTCTGGGCTCTAATTTGCCATGGGGGAGATGAAGCAGCCAGTCAACCTCTGGGGCTCTTTTGGCTGGGACAGCAATTCCAGGGGTTAGGGTCACCAGGAGGAAATCCCAGCAGCTAAAGCACAGGACCTAAGCGTCCTGACCCCCGGGCTCTGTCTCCCCAACCCCAACAGAGGTTGGGCCAACAGGAAGTGAAAGCACCCGAGTTCTGGGCCTGCCCAGCACCCAGGGCTTGGGTCTGGCTGGGCCAGGCTGGAATGAGCGTGTTAGGCAGGCAGGCAGGCTGGGGTGGGCAGGCTGCTCACTTGTCAATCATGGCCTTGAAATCCAGCACGCCCTCGATGAATTTGGCAGCAAACCTAGGGAGAACAACCAGAGATGAGAAGCTGTGTAGACACCCTGAGGACAGTCCAGGGTCAGGGACACCTGCAGGGCGAAGGCAGTGACCAACTGCTTCACTCCCCGCACTGCCTGTGGAGCCGGGAGGAGTTCAAGCTCGCCCTCCTGAGCCGCTTCTCGCAGCCTCTGAGGGAGATGGGGGGGCTCGGGGAGAAGCTGTGGCCAGGTGCCCCACAAGACGTAGGAGCTAAGGCCCGGCGGGCAGCACAATGGAGGCTGGATCACGGGTCAGTGCACCCGGCTCCACCCACAGAGGGCCCAGCCTCTGACCCACAGTCTGGAGTCTGGATTGGGACACCCCTCTCAGGAATCAGTTACAGAGGGACCCGGGACCCCAGGGGACGGGGAGCGTGATTGGGGGGCAGTGGCTTGAGGCGTCCCCTCCCCTAGGTCCCTGTGTCTCCCAGGCTACCTCTCATACTGTCCTGCCTCCCTGGACTGTCTGGGCTACACCGACCATGTCACGGGGACCACCAGCGGAAGTTCCTGGGCCTGAACCCCCAGACCTTCCCAGGATGCCCTGGTGCCTTTAAGGGCAGTAGGTGTTGGCCGCGAGTGGCTGGTACTTGGGCAGGAGATCCTGTCACTGGTATTTTTATCTCTGGTAGGACTGGATCAGAGGCCAAGGCAAGTGACATGGCCGAATGGGGAAGAGGGGACTGTGTACAAAGGTCACCCCTGTGGCCAGCGGGGAGAGGGCAGGAGGGTGAGGTGCCAGAGCTGGGGGGCAGCCTCAAGTTCAGGGAGAGGGAGGGACCCCAGTCCAGTGTGGCGGTGGACAGCTATGAAGCTTTGGAGCCGGGAAGACCTGATCCCTGACCCCATTCAGCCAACACTGAAAGGTGATCTCAGGCGGGCACCCTCACTGCTCCGAGCCTCAGTTTCCCCATCTGTGAAACAGGAACGATGCTCCCTCCTTCATAAGGCTACATGAAGGGCCAGAAGGTGACAAGCAGGGCCAGGCCCCTCCAACCTCGGAGGAAGTGGGCTTCAGGGTCCCGGAAATGCCCAGACCTCGCCCCTGCCGCCTCCTGCCCCTGCCCAGCCGCAGCCACTCACCGGAGCTGTCCCTGCAGATCCACGAAGTCCTGCCTGGGCAGCACCAGGCCGGGGCTGGAGTAGATGACCAGGGGCTGGCGGTACTGGAGGTAGGCCGTCTTAAGCCACCACTCGGACAGCTGGGGGAAGGAGCAGAGCCTGTCAGGAGGGGCGGGGGGGGACTTAGTGACCCTTCCCCCAGGCCAGGGCCCCTCTGCCACTCTGTGCAGCACAGACTCTTAAAGGGATGCTCAGACCCAGCACCCCCGCCCCTCAAGCCCCCCAGCAGTGTCCCATCATCTCCCCTTGGCCTGAGCCAATCAGTGGGAGAAATCAGCCACCACACCAAGGAAAAGGTGTGAGGGCAGAAGCCTGGCGGGAAGCCTGGGTGGGAAGAGAGCGGGCGGGGACCTGAGCCACGTTTCTCTAGCTTACAAATTTTGGTCAATGATTTTTACTACTTTTAGAGACAAAAATGTATGTCTGATAGATAGGAAAGTAGGGGAAGATATAGAAAAGGAGAGTCCAGTGGATGAGGTTTGCTCATCCCACGTGGGCACTTCCAGGAAAGCAGGAACCCAGGGTTCAGTGTCGGATGGGAGGCCCTGGTCCCCCGTGACCTCAGGGGTGTTGGTGTCAGACTGGGGAGTGGACACTCACTTGGATCTCGAGGTCGGGGCAGTCTGGGGGAAGCCCACTGAGGATAAAGCACTGTACTAGTGACAGGCGTGGGCTGCATCCAGTGGGTGAGCATGGTCCTTCTGGGACCTACTGTGCACCTGTTAAAGGCTCAGGCCTTGGAGCTGCGCAGCTCCCAGGTGATTGTCACCCTTGAGCTCTATGTGCCTGACTCAACACTGCCTGCCCTGCACCCCTTCCCATGTGCTCTCTCCCACAGGTCCTTTAATGCCTGGAGATTAACCCCACCCTGTGTTTCCTCTGCCCATCTCAAGGAGCGGTGGAACAGGATGTGTTCTTTACCCCAGATCCCCTGGGAAGCTGCTGGTCTGTGGCGCCAGGCCATTAGCCTTGGGCCCTTGGCAAGGGGTGAGGGGTGGTGACGTGCCTAGGCTGCCACTGGGTACCTGCTGTCTGCTCACCTGTAGCCTGTTTGAAGGAGGTGCAGGCTACAGAAAGGTACAAAAATGCTGGACCCCAGACTCTCAGCCCCTGATTCCAGAGTCCCAGGCCCTGGCCTGCCCGGGCTCAGCACAGCCATCCATGAGTTGGCACCTCCTGCCTCCTGGGTGCAGTCCTCACCCTTCCACCTGCCCCCCTCAAAGCACCTCCTACTTTGTGGGGCCAGACCTGGCTATGCTTCTGTCCTACAAACCTGCATCTCCCTTGGTTATCCCTTCTCCATGAGTCCCCCTCTCTGTTCCCTCACATAGTTGCTTTAGGTCAGGACTGTCCCCCCTCCCAATACCCCCATCAGCAAGTACTACTGGCACCCAAACACTCTAGACCGAATGACTTTCTGCCCTCCCCCTGCCAGCATCTCCCTCGGGGTGACGGCACCAGCCTCCCCACCTGCCTCCGGCCCCCACTCTTGCTCCCCTCCCAGTGGCCAGGGCAGTCACTTTAAACTATGTGTCGAGGTCTAAGATGTGTACAGAAAAGTGCACAGAGCACCAGCGTAGACATGTTCCCAAGAGGTGAGCACATCTACGTGTCAGGCTGGGAGAAAACAGGAGCACCGATTCCCCACTGAACACTAATCCCTGCCTGAAGCCATCCTGTAGCCGCCGCCCACGCGAGAGCCCCCCCCCCTCCTTCTACCTGCACCCTTCCTCCCACCCTTGTACTCCCTCCAGCCTCTGCCTGGCCCTGAATTCACCTGTCGCTGCCTTTGCCTGGGCCATTGCCATGTGTCTCAGATCAACGCCACCTCCTCCCTGCCTCTCTGACCTTTCTCCCCCCGTCTCAGCGCCCTGTCTTATTTCTATAGAACTTCACTACCTGAAATGACCTGGACCACTTATTGTGTCTTGTTTAATCCATTCTCCCCCCGTCCTGCTTGAGTGTCAGCTCCCAGAGGCCATCGCTGTGTCTCTCTTGCTCACCCAGCACTCTGCCTGGTGCCAGGCACAGATCAAGTACTCATGAGACTGTGGCGCAAACAAAGGCACCAGAGTGGCCAGTGTTGGGAGAGTCTGCGTGCAGCAGGGACAGACCACCCCGTAAGGCGCTCACGACGGCCCGCAGCCTCTGGGGTGGGCCCCTGTTCCCCTTACCCTCCGTGGGAACTGGGGGTAGGGGCACCTCGGTCCTTGCTCACCCAGTTCTCCGTCTTCTTGGCCCTGCGCTCCAGCCCCTTCTGCAGGCGCTCTCCCACGCCCCCTGCAGCCTGGAACTCCTCCACCAGCTGCTTGGTGTGGGCCCACTCCTCCTCGCTCACGATGGGCTGCAGCGTCTTCAGGTAATGGTCCAGGGTCTGCTGGAGCGGGGGCACGGGCAGCCGGGGCAGGGAGTCCTGGTGCGCCTTGAAGCGGCCGGCGACCTTCGTCAAGGAGGAGGGCTTGAGGAAGCCCAGGGGCCTCACCTGCAGGCAGCAGAACATCCTGTTCATTCTCTCACCAGCTCCGGGAGGCCTGCTGATCCCCAACTGCAGCCCTGGGCACTTATGTGCCCATCTCTGGGGTCAGAGAGGGCCTCTTGGGTGGTGCCAGCCCTTGCTTCCTAGCCCTCAAGCTATAGGCCTATAGGTGTCTCCACCTCTCTGGGGCCTGGAGATACAGGTAGGGATGGGGGAGGGTGGGGTGTGGCCACTGCTCCCGGCAGGGCTGGGGAGCCGTCAGGATGAATGGCACCTGTTGGGGGCGGCGGGGGTGGGAGGGGCCTCTCAACTGCCTGGATGCGCAGGGCCCCGCCTTTCTCAGCCCAGGGCTGTGGGCCAGTCAGCAGTGAGGGGACTGCCCCCTCCCAGGGGGACCCACCTCCTTTCTCCCACCCTCGCAGGTTGAGAAACAGGCGGGAAGAAGAGAAATCGAGAGGGAGCCAGGCGATTACAGCGCCTCCGGAGGCGGCGAAGCCACAGGCCGCTTCCCGTCTGGGGGCGGGGAGGGAGGCGGCGCGGGGCAGCGCTGCGGCGGGAGAGCTAAGTGGCCCGGTGCGGAGGGTGAGAGGTGGCAGAGAGAGCCCGGGAGACTCGCAGGCGGGCAGAGGAGGGCGCTGGCAGCAGTAGGCGGGCAAGCGGCGGAGGCTCCGGTCCGTACCTGCTCCTTCTGCTGCCCGTCCTCCATGGCAGGACTGAGGGTCTGAGCCCTGTCTGTCTGCCTTGGGCTGGATCACTAAGCCTAACTGTGCTACCAAGTGGGCGAGCAGAACCTAGCAAGAGGCAGCCACTTGCCTGGGCTGGAAAGAGAAGACAAGAGCCAAGGTTCAGGCCGGGGAGGCAGAGGTGGCCCACGGTGGCCGTGGCAGCATCTGGGGTGTGGCTGTGGCAGGAGGAGGGCTCCACCTGCCCTCGCTTCCAGAAGGGGGGGTGGGGAGCGGG